TTGAAACCCGATAGTCAAATTCTGAAATTTAGAATAATTTAAAAATTCGAGAAATGCAATATGTTAATGAAAAAATGCAACTTATTTAAAAAAAAAAAGAAAAAGAAAAAACACGTCAAAGAGACGTCAGTGGCTTTATCATTTACAGCTGCGCTCGGATATTCGTATAAATTACTATACGCGATTCGCGAGTGTTGGGAAATGCATGTAGCGCGGCGGATATTAAAATCGTGTGAATATTTCATTCAAGATCCGATATTTAATTATTAAAATGAAGCGGAGGGGACCGGGAGAAATCTTTATCTCCGCCGGGAGCGTATCGATTTCGACGCGTCTAGCGCCGACTTTTCCGACAATATTTAGCGCGTCGCGTTTTGACGCGTTGCAGATGCAGAATAATGCACGTTTATTCCGCTCGGCCGCCGTTTTATTTTCTAGCTGCGCAGGCAGTCGTGTTTGATCGGCGAAAAATGCGGGGGGAAAAGTCGCGCCCCGTCGAGAGAAAAACACAGGCGATCTCTCTGCCTGTTATTGCCGTGAAAAATTGCATACTTATATTAGTTTGCCAGATATATTGTGCTGCGCATCCATCATCCACATGAAAATACCAATATAACAATTTAGTATAATCTTCATATATATTAAATAAAAAAGTAGCATAGGTCAACAATATTTGCTGGTATCTATTGTTTTCTTCATCCAAATTAATTTTTCTAATGCCGCTTCTAGTGCCGCTTTTCACTTATCAAGGAGGCCGAGTTCCGAATTACAGCTGTCTCTCGTTTCTCTCTCTTAAAAATTATCGCTTGCATTCCGTCCCGACTCGGCCTCCATGAATAATTCGCCAATATCAGCTCCCGCTGCAGTCGTCGTCGCGTATTAACGAGCTGCGACAGATCACCAAAATGTATAAACAAAATGCAGGACGGTCGGGCGCGTTCGCGCATGGGCGATCGCGTCGCCGGTACGAATTATCCCGAAATGCAAAGAGCGTATAAAATTCGTTGAGCCGTTTAAATCACATTATGCACCGTCCTCTTCGCATCGCTCGCGCTGGGCGATCTGCATCCCAATCCCCCTTCTCTCTCTCTCTCTCTCTGTCTTTCTCTGTTTCTCTCCCAACGAATTTTGCCACCTTCGAGGATTTATATGTCCCGACAGGCCGGAACAGGAACGTATGGAATAATGGAACGTAGCTTCGTCGGTGTAATGACGCGACGGTCCGCGTCGAACGCGGCGGTTTCGACAGAGGGGACACGGGGGGACCCGGGCAGAGAGAGAAAGAGAGAGAGGCAAGGTTGGCGCGGCACGGGGACGGTAATTAAATTAATGATGCAATAATCACGCACCTCGCGACCGAATAAATAACGGTCTGTATTAATATCGCATCCGAACAGGATACGCGGTGCGTAGGAACGATCATGCGCGTCGAATTGCATTTTCACCAGCGAGATCGCGCCGCGCCGTGCTCCTGTAAACGACAAATAACAATTACCAGCCGTGGGCCACGGGCGACGACTCGTGATAACTGTGTTTGGCCATGGTAAACATGTAAACGTCACCGGAAGGTTTATAGTGTTTTTTTCCGTTTCGTTTGACGGTGGCGAAAAATTCGCTGCGAGACAAGCACCAGGTGCCTTCCTCTCCTGTGAACTGTCGATCTTGCTGAGCGCACTACTTTCCCAATTACTTTTTATTTAGTGCTTTAATAGCTTGTTAAATTTTTGCGAACAATTCGTAAAAATTGTGTATTTATTGTTGCTGCGGATGCTACGCTGCATGAAAATGTTTCCTGCTCTTTCATTATTCCGGTTACGGAGAGCAGAGGACGGGGGAGGAGTTATAGCATACAATGTTGTAAAACGTTTTATAGCGATTATTTCATTTGCTAATGCGTTACGTTGAATATATTTATTCATACGTATTTCTTCGTTTCTCATCGGAGAACGCGCGCAACATTTTTTTTCCTTTCGCTGTACAACGGGAATGTGAAATAAACGTTGCGCGAAAAACATTTGTTATTCGAATGGATTTTTCGGGAGGTTTAGATCTTGCGTTATACACGAAACTATGTTTACGGATCACATAAACAGCCGGGGTATATCGGCAGTATTCATTTTGCTCACTTTGCGTTTTTTCTCGCGAGAACCGGTGTTTTATCTTGATTTTCTAATTCATCTTCTGCACATTCAGGCGACTCCGGAGTGATAAAGGGCGCTTATTTTCCGGATTGTTACAAGTGCACCTTCATCATTCTTTACGTCGACTGTTGGCGGAATAATAAGGTTTTGCCTCGATTCTCTCGACGCGCGTGAGATTTCTCGCGTCTCACCTCTCCCTCCCCCTTTACGTTTTGCTTTGAACATAATTTATATTTTTAAGTGAGATGTTACAACATCTTTGCAATTATTTCAATTACATCATGTTACGCTGCACTATTCATATCAGGATTTTATTCAGCGGAGCTTTATCGCGACAGCGTACCGCTCAGCTCTAATGATAATGACAAAACCCATTTTCTTTCCTTTCCAGTCGAGTCGACCCTTTTACCGCTGCTCCCCAACTTCTGCTTCGAGCATTGCGCCATTATAATTATTCCGCGAGCTTCTTTCTTCCGACCGGGCATTGACGGAATAATTAATAAGCATCACGCTAATTACTCAGCGACGGTATTATTAATATTTTCTCCTCACCTCCGCGGTAATACACCCGCGGTCACCGACGACGTAACGATTAATCATTCCACACAGGTACGTTTCCGTGCATGCGTTTATTTCTGCATCCGGCGCGCGTCTCTTAGGCGACACACAGGTTTATTCGGAAAAACCTACCGCGCGTACATATCCTTACACAATGTAATTTCAGAGTGTCTTTAATTAGAAGCAATTATAAATATCGTAATAATACCCGAGGGAACTAAGAGAGACTTCTCATTCTATCTTTACTCATTTTTTTTTTTGCGATACGTCGCGGTATTCTTACTTACAGGGTAAGCGGGGATTCTCGCGAGGTTGAAAATTCGGGCAAGAAGGTCGGTCGATATTACGAGCGCGAAGCGCGGTCATCCATACGGCGACCGGATAACCGGTCGAGTCACTGAAAAATTCCATCTTCCCGTCCGGATATCCCGGGAGTCCTATCGAGAATAATCACCGAAAGGGAAGCAAAGAAAATTAGTTTCGATCGCTCGATCCCGAGTTTGGTATCGTCCGCTCCCGACCGGCGAATTTCCGGGACGGGATTTACGCGACGGGTTTTATCAACCGCATACTAAAATATTCAATTATATGCTTCTCCTTTCTCCCTTTTTTTTCCTTTACAGCCAGACTCCACTCGCGTCGGTCGAATGTAAATGTCGAAAGTCAGGACGAATATCGCGCTGTGCATCGGGAGACTTACTATTAATCCTTTGCTCTCCCCAGCGGGGAAAACACTCGCGAGTTCTCGAGTTTACACATTATTACTGTTACAACGAGCGACAGCGAGAAGTATTAATTGTATAGAAAATTAGTCCCCGAGCTGAGAAACTCGTTCGTTTGTAACATTCGAGGTAGCATTAAGTAACGCGCATGTTAAAAAAGTTCTGATAAAAAATATATATTTTATGTATATATATGCTGTATGTGTGTGTGTGTGTGTGTGTATGCGCTAGGAATCGTTATTCTCCTGATATATGCTACATCGCTAAATTTACGAGCGGGACATCAGTTGTTTTTCATTTTCTCAGTGAATTATGTATCCCCTGTAAATATTTCATTAACACAATCATGCTATTTTGGTGGCGGATATCGTGTACCGATTGAACCATTGCGTGATAGCGCGCGATTATATCCGTTTATATTGTATATTGTGTTATATTATCAAAGTAGTATTTGCTAGATATATAGGGTAACAGTAATGTGCAAGTACTACGAATAATCACGTACATTTGCTTGAGTTATTAATGCTCCATCATTTATAGATTATGCATTTCGTTTCACTTCCTGTTTTTAGAATTAGTTTTCCATTGTCTAAAAAAAAAAGAAAAAAAAAGAAAAATGGGTTATGGAGCGATATTTCGACACGTCGCGTCGCGTGCAGCTATTTCTATTCGTTTGAAGGTTACGCGTTATTTTATTATTTCCAATCTGCGGTTCGCTGACTTTCACACATAATGAACGGCATTTACGAGCTCGCGCTATCGTCTAGCTTCCGTTGCGCCGTGAACCGAGCCGTTTTGGTCTGTTTATCGAAATCGGCAGCCTTTCGCAAAGTCGCGTCTATAAGTAAGTAACGGTCGGCGCTGATCAGCGAAATGATTTGTTGTTTGCACATTTTCACGATACATCGGTTCGTTACTCCAATAAGGCCGACTTGATTGTTATCATGCGCTCAAATCGATACTCGAACCGGTTATCCGATCACACGTGTACGTAAGAAGCACACAAGGATACATTCCAATTACGTCGATCAATTTCACTTGTCCATTAGAAAATCACCGGCCGTTACTTTCCTCGACTCTTCCTTTCAACGTGGTAAATAGCCATTACACTTTTATCCTTAATTAAAATAATAGCTTCTGCCAATCGTTTTGTGGAACAACAATTTCTGAACGATATAGCTTCATCAGAAAAACGCTCACTAATGTGATAAATCAGAAGAGTCGTACGATAGCTGACTGCATAACAAATGAACCTGACTTCGACATACATCGGTATTTTGAAAGGCAGTGATCTAAGAGATCTCTTTTTCAAGTTTTACGATATTAAAGTTATTTTGATTCTAGAATATGAACTATAATTCTCTAAAACAATAGTATCAAGAATTAGCGCAAATTTATATTTTTTATTTGAAACGGTTTCTTTATCCTCAATTCTTCTACGGCACAGTTTTTACAACAATTTTTATCGTGATAGCGTGAACAGTATTTGATGAATTACTGGGAAAATTTCAAATCATTAGTTTCTAACTCGGCAACACTTTAAGAATGCGCATGGATAAATTGAGATCTGTTTACTCACCGCCGATGACGATGAAATCGTAGTAGTATTCAGGTGGACTTCTCGACCTTACACGCTCGCACGATTGAGATATCGTCTCCTGGGATCGCACGAGCATATCCAAAATCGTCATAAACGTCAAATACTGTGATCCTGAACAGCTTTGGGTAAGGCTCGGTCCGAGATGGGAAATCGGACATGCTGGACCAACTGTTAGATTATACGACATTCTGCGAACAATGATTATCATAATGTCATATCACTCTGCAAGAAAGATAATTTTCCTATCGTTTTTATCACTTGATAATTCTGGTGTGCGGCAGAATGCAGAATGTCTCTATCATGGTTGTTGCTTTAAATGTTATCATCACGTTTATCCCGTCATGCGTATCTATCGATTGTAAAAAGAGACGATCGACGGCGAAAGCGTGATCGTAAATTGATTGCGATATTTGGTACACTTAACAGATCAATGGGAGCGCAATAACGCGAAACCACGTAAACCCACGATTTACGCGTCGCATGACGACACGTGAGCCCGCAATTCCAACTATCGCTATCGTGCAAAATCATATTTAATTGGCGTTTACTAGCCGCTTGTCACTACGGTATTCGTATTTCGGGCAATCTCTAGTTTTGTTTTTTGTTTTTCTTTTTTTCAGAGACAGTTAATGTTCATATCCGTTGCCGGCTAATTGAAGTCAGAGACCGAATCATCCATATCCAAACCATCGCGTAAAGTCAGTTTTCCGCACAAGAAACTTGGTGCAAAAAAGCACCTGCTATAACTAGAAGACCGTATACCTATATCGTTTAATTTTAAGTGAGGAATCTGCCGTTTTAACGTCCCCAATATTTTGCATTCGAGTTTAAGGCACATCAATTATTCATTCTTCATTTTTTAAACAGCAGTCTATATCGCGACATTATCATAAGCCTTCGTCCGTGGCGATGCACGCAACGGAGAAGCGCGGTATAGGTTTAACATAAATAAATATTCTCTTTAATTAGCGGGAGGAGTTAATAGCGTTGTAATTAACCGAGCGTGTTAATTAATTCATCCCTAATTAACACGACTGCCTTTCTGTGCCATTACGCGCATGCATTAGCGCTCGGAGGAACGAAATACGGGCCCACAAAGAGTCGTCGCGCAGCGCGGACTAAGCGCAATTATTACCGCGATCAATTTACATAATTCGTCGTTCGTGCGCCGTACGAAAATCGCGTATTACTCCTTTCACTGGTGCGCGAGGGGGCATCTCAAAAATCGTGCCGACATTAATTAACGTGCGCTAATTTCGTAACGTCGAAACCCCCTTGGGTCACGTGAATCACGAATGACACGAACGGGATCGCGTTTTATGTCCACCATTTATAATGTACACACATCAAACTGTTGAACATATATAGCGAACGCGCGTATGATTTATTGCAATCGAGCTACAACACGAGATTGTACAAAAAAAAGGAGAAAAAAAGAGGAAAAACACGATAGGGCCCGCGGTGCAGACACGAATCGATAAGCTCCCGTATAGTATTCCGAAACCCTTTCTATGAGAGCGGGATACGTTCTCGAGTGTTAACTGTTGTACAGTTTAGATATCGCGATAACGCATGTTGCCGAGGGAGATCAAAACGGCGCGGCGCGGCGCGGGCGCGGGCGACTTGAATCGGAATCGGTGAGGAGAAGTCAGGACACAGAAATGAGGAAACATAAATGATACTAACGTTACACTGGCTGGAGAGAGCACAGCTCTCTTCTCGATGAATCTCTTGTCGATGCACTCCGGTATACACGTGACTCCGAGCAAGGCTCGCACGTGCAACGCGTCGCTTTGGTGCAGCAAACGGGCAAAGTGTAACTGTCAGACCTCTCACCGTAGAACGCCACTTTATAATTCATCTCCCACTCTGGCAGTCCGATTCCCCGCCGAAGACACCCACCATAGATCACTTCAATGAATCCGCGCGATCGTAAAGGAAAGGAAAAGTCCCGTGTAATTTTTGTTTTTACCGGAATAAAGATACGTCTCGGTAATAAATGATGGACGATCACGACGACACCTTCTAAGTTTTTCACGAAGAAATACGATGCGTAATACGACTCAAAGTCTAAGTACACTGCAGTGATGCGATTTTAGAAATTCCAATGACGTAGTTCGGAAATTTTACAAATTGAGTTTCAGAAAAGAAAAGAAGAAAATTTGTGAAAGTTCAGTATCAGTATCAGTTTAAGTTTAGAATTGCAATGTTCATGTTTCCATTTCTGCATTAAAGATGTCAAGAAATTTAAAAGAGATTGAATTTTGAAATCACAAATGTTGGCGAAATAACATTAAAATAAAATCTTTATATTAAAATTCTTATCTATTACCTCGGTATTTTTGTATCATATTCGAAGTTTATACTGCAAAGAATATTAAGTATTATAAGCGATGAATAAACGTGAGATAAACAATAGAGATAAAAATTTATATAATATAAACGCGAGGAATGATTATCCACTTATAAATAAATCGTTTCTCGTTTCATCAAATGTATGATTTTATCTCGTATGGATGAAATCATGTTTTTTATAGCCCGTTTAGTTGTTATCTCAATACTACGTAGTGAACTCAATCAAATAATTCTTTGCGTTAGGATTCTATGCGTTATACACGAGATATTTGTAGTCAATAATATGCGAAATTGCGATCTTATCGTAAAATGCAGTATGCTCACGCAATCGCCTAAACGCTATAATGTCGATGATAGAGACAAGATGAAGTTTTTAATACATATGTATCCATGAATTTCAGTTAATTCAGTGTCCAGATGCCGTTTTATTGAATCGAATAGTAATCATAAAAGTCATGGACATATTTTACATAATTGTAAAAACTTGAAATAATCACGTATAAGATTAAACGCATAATAAATGATATCAAAAACATAAATGTAATTAGGACATTATGAAATTCTAAATGGAATTTAAGTGGGATTGAAACTTCAAAAAATATATAAGAATTACACAATTTGTCATATTTCTTTCGCGCGCTATTAATGATAAAAGAGACGATAGAGAAAAAAAATTATTAAATACGATAATATACAAAGAATGACGATAATTTTTGAAGAAACTTTTTTCCATATTAAATATTGAAAGAAATTCCGTAGAGGCATAGAGTTTATTAGTAGAGACTCCTCCCCTTCTCCACCCCACACACACAGATATTTTTCGCAATAAATTCTTTAGAGGGATTTTAAGAAGTATGCTTATATATTAGCATCAAAAGTTACATCAATTGAGAGCAAAAACAATGATCAAAACATCGTGACGATTATAATAAAGATGGCCAGTTAGGCCGAATAAAAAGTCTTTATTGGTAATTATTTACTGGCAAAGTAAAAATTTCTGAGAGAGAGATTTGGTTTATATAATATTCTTTAAAGTAAAATAAATATATATTGATTTTTTTTATTTGTTCATTAATGTGTTGATCTGACATGATTGATCGTTTTGTCGCGTATAGTTATATACTTCAAAGTATTTATAACAGGTATAAAAATATGATTTTATATATATAGATATAATAGTAATTAAATGAGTCACAAACGTTTATTCATAAATTCATGCGAATAATATTATTAGACACAAAAGATTTAGCCCGACCGTATATCAGCACATTTATTATTTACTTGATTGTCATAAACCTGTCAGGACTTAATATGATTTATACATGCACGTTTGCCTTTAAAGACGTTCTCTTTAATATTTATATTGTTGCGATAAATATTACTACATGCCTCAGTGGTCGAATTGTTAAAGACATCCATCCCCGAATAGTATAAGGGAGGTCCAGGTTTGAACCCTGGCTGGGGTAATACTTTTTGCAACATATTTATTACAGTGGTTTTAAAGATTCGTATTAGTATCGGTATTATTAAATTGATTATCAATTAAATTATGTGGTTATACTATTATAGCTTCAGCTTGAGATTGCGTCCAGATCGACAGTATAATGTCGCAAAGTTTGCTAAGCGAAAAATGTACATAAATTCATGCAAATAATATTATTAAGAGTAGATCCAGCCGTACATTTCTTGTTTACTTGTTATTATAAACGGTCATGACTCACTTAATATAAATATACATATTATATATATATTATATATTGATTTTTTTATTTGTTTATCAATGTTACATGATTAATAGTTTTGTCGTGTACCTATAGTTTTATTTCAAAGTATTTACAGAAGGTTTTTAAAAATATGTTTTATAAAATTTCGATTATATGATACTGTCATGTTTCGTTGCATTTATAAGTGCTGATTTCTGCAGCGCAGAAAGTTTCGGTTATGCTTATACCGTTACTATTAAAAGTTACAGATAAAAGTACCGATAAAAGATTCGAACATGCTGCAGCTATTATCAGTACTGGTTACAACATATTTTTAATCTTGCTTCTAATAATAACGATTCACATGAGATGCAAAGGTGTGCGCTTTTCAGCCGTAACGTATTAATGTAACTTTAAATCAACGTTACGTCCGCACAGACGTACCTACGCGCGCGATCGTAAATCATAATTCTATAATTTAAGTCAGCGGTGTAGTAAACAAGGAACATGTTATTTACGTACGTCATGTTCATTTATTCACGCAACCACAGAGCGTGAAGCACCCGGTGTCAGCAAAATGCGGAACATCTACTTCTTCATGCACGCAATTGAGGCATAACGCGCGTTACACGTGTTTGAAGTTTAAAGTTTGAATGATGATTTTTAAACACGCATACGCGTGCGTCACACTCTTTCGTAAATCAAAACTTTTTTGACCCGGGAAATTGTCTGGATAGTTAACGATCAATCCTCGATGTTACCGATAAAGGAGGGGGTTAATCAATGTTTTCTAATCAATCTGTAGAGTCAGAGAGCTCTTATGCCTTCGAAGTTACGCAAAAAAGACGCGTATTACGTATGATATATTAAATATGCATAGAGTGCAAGGCGATTGTCGCATTGCGACTGAATAAATCATCATAGATATCTATTTTCTGCTCTGAATATTAACACAGGTACACACACACACATTTGCGCGTACACGTGCATTCGCAACTACACCAGATTTTGAAAATTCTCTAAGATCATTATATTTATGCTATTCTTAAACTGTTTTAAAAAAATGATTGTTGTACATGTATTGATAATTCAATTTAATTATTTGATAATTCATTGAATCTATATATAATAATTACGTTATATACATATATGCAATCAAAAAATATTAGATTGTTTATTTATGTTGTTACGACGTCTTTTAAATCAAACTCACTTTGAGCGAGCTATGTTGCACATCAGATTTCAGGATATAATACCTACTATTTATATTTTTGTATGCCATGCTTCTTGATATGTGTTAATATATGTTTTATATACACGCATATTTTTAATTCTTCGAACATTTTTTGTATTGCACAGCACAGCACAAAAATTTATAAATAGGATTTCTAAAATAGACTTTATTCGACAACGATAAAATAAACTTTGTCCTAGGAGCGTAGAATACAAAATTATAACAATTATAATGTTGATATCAAACATGTTAATATTTTGTGCACTCTTCATTTACTCAGAATACATATATTATTGTAAGATCTATTTGAGATCATTTTAAGATCTATATGTTGTAAGATCTTTTCGATTGTACGATATTGTAATTATTATTGCAGAGTGTTTTTCGGAGTTCCTACCTACAGTAGTAGAGGCAAATGCTTACGTAGATGCGCTTACGTGATACCTCGTAGGTGATACTTCCTTAAAGAGAGAGCAGGTGAATTTTACAATAATATTTTAAACTAAATATTATTCGAGATAGAAGTTGAGAGTTTTTATTAACAGTGATCGTGCGTGTGAAATACAGTTCTACGCATAATTGCGAGTACATGATATTCCTTGATCATAACATCTGTAACATTGACCTGTGAAAATGTGTTTGTCACGGCCTCACATAGCCGTGGGCCTTTATTATCTCAATGTCTTATAATTTATATTTAATTAGGCAAAGAATCAATTCAAATGGAAATTATTATCTTTGCATTCGGTATAAGATTTTTTTCGCCGAAATGTAACACGCCGCACGCGCGTTAATTTCGCGCACGTGCTCGTCATCGCGTTATTTCGACGGGGCAACGCGTTCGATATGTACATTAATGGAATCGCGGTAATCCGTAGTTTGCGAAATGGCGATCGCCCCGCGGGCATCCAACTGCTTTAGTACGTAGTGTCAATTTAGCACGAAACAATTGGATCTTCGCGAACAAATTATTAATACGGTATACCGTGTGCGGGTGTGCCGTCGCGCGAAAAGTCGCGCCGATAAAGCGCGAAACGTCATTCCCTCGCACCTCCCGCCCCTTCCGCGGGAAGCAATCACGATATAATAATATAATTGTATACGTGCGTGTATATATAAAAGATAACGACGCCGTGCACTTAATTACAATTTACGCGCGCGTGTGCGAGTGTGTGAATACCGGCCAAACGAGTCAACGCTCTTTCGTTCGTTTGCGCGGCGGAATGTGGCCATTACCGAAATTAGCGTTGCCGATTCGATTATACGCGGTTATTATTACGTCGTTGGGTGAATGCGCGCGTGTGCGAGTTCCGTGTGTTCGCGTGCGCCCGATTGTATGCGTTTGATGCATTCGAGATCAAAGGCAAATCGGCGATGCTGATATTTCGCGATGCCTCTAATGGGAGATCAGCTGAAATTTTATGACGCCGATTCGTCGAAAAAAACATGCATTACGCAAACGCGCGAGTGATTGCGTTATCGGATTTCTTGCAAAAATCCATAGATTTCCGAGACACGATGGATTGCAGAGTTAATAATTGTTATCA